CTCATTGCTGTCTTTCCTGTTGTCGTTGCAGCCACTGTTTTACAGGTTCGTAATCCCACAACTCACAAACATTGTTATCTCGTACGATAAACTTATGACGCTGTAAACTTTTCTATAGAAAATGTTCATGAGTGGATTTTCCGGGGACTTGGAAGGTGCACATGCCAAAGCCACACAACTAGCCGGGGAAGCTGTGGCTAATGTAAGAACAGTCGCTGCCTTCAATTCAGAATCGAAAATAGCTGGTCTTTTCGCCTCCAGTCTTCAACCTCCATTGCAACGCTGCTTTTGGAAGGGACAGATAGCCGGAGGTGGATATGGAATAGCTCAATTTTTGCTCTATGCATCCTATGCCCTTGGTCTTTGGTATGCCTCATGGCTCGTCAAGCATGGAATATCGGACTTCTCAAAGACGATCCGAGTTTTCATGGTCCTTATGGTCTCAGCCAATGGTGCAGCCGAAACTCTGACGCTTGCCCCAGACTTCATCAAGGGCGGTCGAGCAATGCGTTCGGTGTTTGAACTTCTAGACCGCAAAACTGAAATTGAGCCTGATGACCCAGACGCAACCATGGTCCCTGACCGTCTTCGTGGTGAAGTCGAGTTTAAGCACATTGATTTCTCTTACCCAACCCGGCCAGATGATTTAATTTTCCAGGATTTAAATCTTCGAGCCCGAGCTGGGAAAACTCTTGCACTTGTTGGACCTAGTGGCTGTGGTAAGAGCTCGGTCATTGCACTTGTACAAAGATTCTACGAACCGTTGTCTGGACGCATTATGATCGACGGAAAGGATATCCGAAAATACAATCTGAAGTCACTGAGACACCACATTGGTGTGGTGCCACAAGAACCTTGCCTCTTCGCTGCCACCATTTATGAAAATATCGCTTACGGAAGTGAGTTCGCCACCGAAGCTGAGATAAGCGAAGCAGCAAACTTGGCAAATGCTGACAAGTTCATTTCATCGTTGCCCGATGGATACAGAACATTCGTTGGGGAAAGAGGAATTCAGATGTCTGGTGGACAGAAGCAAAGGATTGCGATTGCTCGCGCATTGTTAAGGAAATCGGAGATAATGCTGCTGGATGAGGCAACAAGCGCGCTCGATGCAGAATCCGAGAGGTGTATACAAGAAACTCTGGATCGTGCCTGCGCAGGAAAAACGACAATTGTGGTTGCACATAGACTATCGACAATCAGAAATGCTCATGTTATAAACGTGATAGATGACGGGAGAGTAGCAGAACAGGGTTCTCACTCGCATATATTGAAGAACTACCCCGATGGAATCTATGCACGTATGATACAGTTACAGAGGTTCAGCCATGGACAAGCTGTTAATATGGTATTAGGTATGAGTTCTCAAGATCACCAAGGCCAATGAGTTGAAGGAAAACAGTACTAAAAAGAAGTATTTCTATATACCCACAAGTTATTTTTGACTCTCTTGTTTTGTTCACCTTTTGGTAGAGTATAGCTTGTGTATTATCTTAATTTATAATAATATATGTTCTTGTACTTCGCATATTTCTAGTTTACCCTTGCAATACAAATAGCATGAACTTTTTATTTTCTAAGTAAATCATATAATCATACTTTTGCTCGCTTTACTCACAAAATGCACGGTGTCTTTATGGTTAGGGGTGTTAAATGGGCGATGGTTTAGCTCGCCAGGCGACTCTATTTGCCTAACGAGCTATAACCATACTTTTGCTTGGCTAGGATGTTAATTGTACGACTGTTCGACTCGTTCAAGCTCGCCTGGCATGCTGGCTTGCATGAGCCAACTCTCTCAACAAAAGTGCGACTCATTTTGCCCCATGAGCTCGTCCCTCAGTGGGATGAGTCAAGATATAATATTATTTTTTACTAAAATTGTATATTTTCTCAAATTAGATAGTCGACTAGTAACTAGCTCCACTTAACATTCGTACTCGATCATTTTAAACTAATTAATGCTTTATTACAATACACAATCGACTTAAGCCTTAAAATTCCTAGCATTAGCTTTGAAAACTGAGTAAATTATCATTAACAATATTAAATTTATGATAACTGTAAAAAAAGAAAATTTCCATATCATTTGCACTGAGTAACTTTGTTCCAATTAGATTGATCATGACAGAGGGATGATGTCATCCACTCTCCAGAAAACTTTATCCTTCACGTGATTATCAAATTTACCTAAACTAGTAGAATTAATGTTACATTTATTACTTAATTAATATAATTATCTTGGCAGTGATTTTACAGTAATATATACCTTGAGTACTATGGACAATTGACGTGACTACTAATAATAAATTTAACATGCATTTAATTCCATTTAATTTGCAGTAAATTATACCATAGTTTTATTATATTTTGTTTACAATTAGACTTGTAAACTAGCATGTTCTTGTAAGTAATCCTTCATTTTCTCTTCATATTAAGATTGATTGATTCTAAATTAATTTAATTGACACCATTTTCAAGGTAGAACTAGTCAATGGTTTTGATTTATTCTTACAGAAATTTCGGAAAACATTTTCCAGTGATTAATCACGCCACCGGAAAATAACCACAAGCGTTCTATCTTCCAATAGGCTTAGATAAGTCTTACTACGATGGTGATTGAGAGGTACATAGAAAGGGGAAAACATAGTTATTGTCCGAAAGAACCATAAAAGAGTGGAATGGTGGAGATGAGATAGGCCTAGGATAATGTTTGGTAGTCGTGAATCCTACTATGGATATCTTGACTAGTTTAAAATATAATTTAAACTATGCAAAGCAACCATAAGAAACTCTGAGGTCAAGGTAGGATGTCAAAATCGACTGAGTCGCACAAGGGCAGGCTGGGCAGCTCGATCACCACTACATCTAACACGAGGGCATGTAATCTTGTAGTGTAGCCAAATTGGCATAGATGGTTTCTGATATCAAAATCTTTAAAGGAAAAGTTTGCCAATCACAGGCTCAAATCCATTGCACTCAGCAAAATACACAAGTACTAAGAATTAAACAAGAAAAAGAACTATTATAACTACATAAAATAATTGGGAAAAGGGATCAACTAACCATTTAAACAGTCGTCTAAACAAACATAAAAGAACACACGACATCTCAGTCAACATTATCCAAAAACCCAACAAGACTAACTCACATCGACATTAACTTTGGACCATTATCTGGCATTCCCATCCCAGCAGCTAGTTCAGCATCGAGTTGAGTGTGCGGTGCAGGCCCCATCATTTGCTTCACACTGTGCAAGAACAATATCAGCGTTCTCAAAAAATATAGCTAAAGTACTTAGTTACAGGGCCCGGAAAGTGAATATTCAAAAGTAGGAGATGAAATCAATACAATTACCACCTAAAACGCATACACTTAAGAAAAAATTTAAACACGAGGATATGTAAAACTGAAAATGAGCAGCTGGCCAAGGTGTTCTCCTCAGCCTGTCTAAGTACAGTCCATAAAGTTTGATTAAAAAATACAAGCATTGATGGAGGCAGGACTCGGAACCAATGGGACAGACCAGAAAACTTTTTAAAGCACAAAGTCTCAGAACTTTAAAAAAAAAAAAAAAAAAAAAAAAAAAGGTTGTCCCAGATTTCTGTGAGTCACTGGCACCCACCTCCCTTGCCACTGAATATAAGCTCATCGACTAAGGTTTATAGATACATATTAATACATCATTTTGCTATCTTGTAGGACGCGTTATACTTCAGTTCATTTTAACTTTCATCTGAAATCCTTAACCAAATAAATTACCCCGACATAACTTCCCTTACGGATTTGTATCCCATTTTATATCAAATTAAATTGGAAGTAAAATAAGAGGAAAATATTAAAAAAAGTTTTTGCCATTTTGTTGCTAACAGATGCAACTTCATAACAAAGCATTAAAACTTGAACTTATATATCTTGCATTCACTCAAGTTTTTATTACCATAATTGAACAAGAAATTCGTATTTCTTCCCAAAAGTAGTTGAGTTACATAAACGTGTAGCTAGGCAGAAAGTAGCCAGGGTGAGGGTTTGGCGAGCTCAAGCCCACACAACCCAACCTAAATAAAATTTATTATAGGTGCACAATGCCCACTAGGTTTGCAGAGGCCTGATACCAGGATTTGGAATCTGCCTCGTCATTGGAGAGGTAAAATCGAGCCAGAATCAATTCCATTAAGTGATCAAAGAATTGGCTGTGTTATTGGATTATTGATTTCAGGACAATGGCTGTGGGATAAGATTGCTGATTTCAGGACAAAGGCTGGAGAGACAATGAAATTAAGTATTTGAAGGCAAACACTCCTTGGAGTGAAGTTTCAGCGAGTTCTCACTTTTTCCCTTGAAGAGTCACTTTTATCATTGAACTCTAAAGTCCAGAATCAACCAAAGTTCATATAAATATCTTCCATAATGCTTTATACTTTAAGAAGTAATTTTTTTTATCATTAAACTAACTTGTATAATAATGAACCTATAGAATAAATGCTCATTTTTCTTTACAGTTTAATATTTTGTAATTTATTATTTTTCAATTATATAAATTTTGTAATTTTTAATATCTTAATCTGCTTTTGAAATAAATTTAAAAACTTATTAATTGCAAAATTATTAATTTAGTAATATCTCAAATTTCAATATTTTCTATTATTTCTTCATTAGACATATCAGAGAAGTGGTCTCTCATTCAAAATTAGTTGCTGCAGCGATGGTGTTTCACAGTTGCATTGGTTGGTGAGGGCTGAGAGAAATTTTGGAACAATAAGAGCATGTCTGATTTTCAGTACGCGTTTTTAATATCAAACATCAACGAGTGTGTAGCTTTTCTCACACTGCCAGCTCTCAAATATTGTGATTTTTTGTTGATAATCATGAATTTTAATATATAATCATTCTGCCGACATAAATGTTTTTGCTTTTAAACAAATAAAATTTTCTCAACTCCGCTTCAAAAAATTTCAGTAGCTCCTGTTATTGAATGCTAGGAGAGTTCAAGTAGGATTTAAGATGGATAAATACTCAGATAGAGCTTGATTATTAGTCAAACATTCATCAATCAGGGAATGAACTTCAAAACTCAGTTCAGCTTCGCTTGTATATGGATCTAAGTAAATGTCTCATATTTCCTAAATTACAAGTTTGAAGATGTCTGGATGCAGGTGAAGGTGATCTAAAAAGGACGACTTATGGAGATCAGTGATACCTATATGCTAAAGTTCTGTGCCACCAAATGTCCACACACACACAATGAAAAAAAAAAAAAAAAAAAGGAGGAAGAAGAAGAAGAAGCGCATTTACCAACTTTGAATTTCAAATCAGTTCAACACAAAAAAGAAAAAAATGTCTGATCTAAAAACATAATAAGCACGAAAAACTACTTTTTTATTTGAAAGAGAACAACAATTTAAAATGAAAAATCAATCAAGCATCAAAAATTGAAAAATTATGGCATATAGAATCTGAATTGTACATACCGCCTCCTATGCTTTTTAGTCTTGAAATGCTCATCTCTCACAGCCACGTTAGCGAAATACCGACTATAAAAACAAAAGTAGAAAATAAAAACCCAATAACTAGGATTGAAAAGCCTGTAAGCTGTTTTGTAAAAGAGTTAAAATCAAAATGGAAAAAATTACTCGCAGTGTAGACAGTAATATTGGCCCATTCCAGGAAGATCTTCGTCAACAGGCAAGGGTTTTCCCTCTCCCTCAGCTTTATGAAGCTCATCATATACAGCATCGTCGCGTAAACAAGAAACAGTTAAGAAAACATTCTTCGAATTAACAAAAAGTCGGCGTAAGATAGTAAGAAGTAGCTAAAAAAAAAAAAAAAAAGAAACATTGCGGAAAAAAAAAAAAAAAAGCAAAAAAAAAAAAAAAAAAAAGGATATCTTTAACAAGAAATTTAGTGCGGCGAGCAGTTTTGTGAGAGTAGCGGCGCTTCTTCACACTCCTGTGCGGGCACTTTCCACCCATTCTTTGTTATTTTTCCTTAATTTGTGAAATTAGGGTTTCCCTTTCTTCGATTTAGAATCCGAAACCATTGAGTCGGTTATGTCACCCTATGTGAGCTGCGCGGCGTCGTTGCATACTCGGATTTAGAGAATATTTTAGGGGATTTTGATAAAAAAGTCCAGTCAAACAATGTTATTTGATAAAATAGCCTCCACTTACAAAAAATAATAAACAAATAAGATCAAATGTCTAAAATACCCTCACCATTGAAAAGACTCAAATACCCATTTCAATCCAATTAAATCCCTCAAATCATCAGCAAAAATCAGTGGACGTGCTTTCCCGGTGGATGCTTCCTTAAAATCTTGTTATTCATTGCATTCTTCATCTATCTTCTCTAATATTTTGAGCATTTTAACAAGGATTTTGGTGCCTACATTATCCACATTGAAATTTCTACTATATTTAAAGAAAGAAGAAAGGTATTTTTAGAAATCTCATTTATATTGGTATTTTTATTGTTGAATATAGTATAAAATGATATTTTAGTTGATTTTATTTTCGCATTTGGTGTATATTTGCATCGTCCGCAACTATTGGACGATAACGACACTCCAGTCGTTATTAGTAGTTCAGAACGACACTACAGTCGTTATCTACCATGTAAAACGATAGTACAACCGTTATCTGTTATGATCTGTCCATTATTGATGATATATTGTGGTTACTTTGATCATTCAAATATGGTAACAATTTTCATATTATTTTGATATATACTTGAGTAAATTATTTAACTTTTTTTTTTTTTACACGTATGGATTCTGTAGAAATGATATGGGTACAAGTATGCTATTTTGTCGAGTTTAAAAAGACTGAAGAAAGCAAATGGACATGGGATTATATAGGAAACGGTGAAGAAAATGTGGATATTCTTTATGTTCCATCTAGCATTTCGTATATAGAGTTGTACAACAAAGTGCAAGAACTTGTTAATGTGGATTCAAAGTTATATGAAATTGAGATGATGTCCCTTAATCCTGGAATGTCTAAGTTTTCAGTTCCACCACAAAGGATTAACAGTGACATGAAAGTGAAGTGGTTTCTTTCTATTTGTAAAAAACATCCTCTTTGCGTGACTATTTCGACTAAAGTTACAGGTGAATGTGATAGTGTAAGGGAGTTTGAAAGAGATTGTGGAGTAGAAACTAATGGTGAAGTAGAAAAGGGAGATGTGAGCCATCAAAATGAAGTTGAGCTATATGATGGCGATCATGGAAATGATAACGTAGAAGAAGGAAACTCTGTGGATTGGGATAACTTGCATATAATTCAAGGTAGTTCCGAACAACAAGATTTCGAAGATAAATCTCCTCCGAGAAATGAAAACAATGTTGATTTCTCCATGGAAGAGGACATTATTGGTACTTCAACACAAGTCCTGTGTTCAATTCCTTATAGATCATCAGTTAGGATTCCAGAAAATGAGGATGTACATGATGATGAACTATTTCCAACTAAAAGTGCTTTGATATCAAAACTCCAGCTACTTGCCGTGAAGTACCAATTTGAATTTAAAGTGAAGAAATCAAATAAGAGTGTTTATACAGTCGTTTGTGTTGAGAAAATTTGTAACTGGCGTTTACGGGCAACGAGCATAGCTGAATCTGAGATTTTTCAAATACGAAAATATTCTAGCCATCACATTTGCTCTATGAGTGTTCGTCGCAGGGATAATAGACATGCTACCTATTCGGTAATTGGAAAACATGTAGCTCCAAAATATCATGATGCCAACATAGTGTACAGACCAAGAAACATTATCAATGACGTTCGTCGAGAGTTTGGCATAACTATAAAATATCACAAGGCGTATATGGCCAAAGAATTTGCTTACAAAGAGGTTCGAGGTAGCCCTGATGATAGCTATGCAAAGTTACCAATGTATTGTCACATTCTGGAGAAAAATAATCCTGGTACGTTGACCTTTATTGAAACCGATAATGATGGACATTTCATGTATTTTTTTATGGCATTAGGACCAAGCATACGTGGATTTCTCTCTTCAATTCGACGGGTAATATGTGTGGATGGAACATTTTTGAAATCTAAGTATCGAGGTACGTTACTTGTTGCCACATGCCAAGATGCAAATCGTCAAATTTATCCACTTGCGTGGGGCATAGTGGATTCAGAAAACAATGACTCATGGACTTGGTTCTTTCAGAAGTTACGACAGATAACCGATGACACAGACGAGCTAGTCTTTATATCTGACCGTGCAACAAGCATATCAAATGGTTTCAACAGCGTCTATCTTAACGCACATCATGGACATTGTATATGGCATTTGCAAACTAACTTGAAGAGCAAATTCCCTCGCATAGATATTGTGCCATTGTTTAGAGCTACTGCACAGGCATATAGTTTGGCAAAATTTGAGATTAATATGCAAGCATTGTGCAGTCTACACGAGAAAATCAGAGAATACTTAGAGGAAGAGGTTGGCGTGGAGTATTGGTCAAGAGCACATTTCAATGGAATCAGATACAATACTATGACCACAAACAATGCAGAATCATTAAATTCATTGTTGAGAAGTGCTCGAGAATTTCCTATACTTGCTTTGATCGAGTATATCAGGGAAAAGATGCAGAGTTGGTTTCATGATAGGCGCATTGATGCCGAAAAATGTACAAGCTATCTCACCCCGCCAATGGAGGAGAAAATGTACGATAGGTATAATGAGTCAAAAGGTTTTGAGGTAAAAGCTCTTAGCCCAGATGAAATGCAAGTGAGTGATAAAATGGAAAGTTTCATTGTTAATTTGGAGAGGGGGACATGCACATGTAAGGAATTTGATCTGGACCAATTTCCATGTGCACATGCAATTGCAGTAGTAAGGGATGTTGGAGACAACTGTTACAGGTTTTGCTCTCCATTTTATAGCACTTCTTACTGGAAACAAGCTTATTCTGAATATATATATCCACTGTCAAATGAGGTGGACTGGGAAATTCCCGATAGTGTTCGATCAAGAAAGGTGATACGACCGTTGACACGAAGAGGAAGTGGACGTCCACCAAAAAAAAGGAAACAATCAACCGGAGAGGTGTGCAAGTCTCGTAAGTGCAGTAGGTGTTTGAAAACTGGGCATAACCGTATCACTTGTACAGATCGTGCACCACTTAGCGAGAGACATGAATGATGAAGATAAAACCGCACATCTGTTGAATTTTGACTTTTATGATGTGCTTCTTTTGTAGTATTAAAAAGGACGGTGGTGTTATGATGTACTGCTTTTGTAATTCCTAAATGTAAACTATTTAAAATCTTTGGAATGATTCATTTTGTCATTATCTTAGAATCGATAAAGCCATAATGGCAGATATATTTTGTTGTCATATCGAAACATCACTGGTGCCGTTTTTTGTATTTTACCCAGAAAATATAAAAATATTGTTCAGAAATTAAACATTATTGATTTAATGACAATTTATTTATAAATATATAAGTTATCAATTATTCGTATTGTGTTTACATAACTAACGACACTTGTGCTGTTTTCAAAAATAGTAATAGCACTAGTGTTGTTCTCATTTTCCATGTTGTCCAAGTAATGCGAGTATCTCTCAAATGTTGTGAGTAGCATGTCCATCTCGTGACTCAAATGAGCTAAACTTTTCGAATACAAGGGCCCGAAAGGCTCGTGGATGCTCAAACTCGTGTTTATTGACCGAACGACACAAGTGCCGTTCTCCAATTTTTCGCTTCATTTCCTACGCGTCGACCTCAAAGATCGGACCTCCTAACTTAAGGAAGTCGGAATTATAGAATACGTGACGGATAGTGAGGAAATTGGCATGCATTTCGGTGAAATCACAAGTCACCATCCATATTCGTTAGAAAACCAAAGTAATGAGGGCATCTCTTTACTGACAGAACGACACTTGTGTCGTTCTGTCTATTTCTCCCATTTTTCGCTTCATTTCCTCCGCGTCGCCCTCAAAGATCGGACCTCCTAACTTAAGGAAGTCGGAATTATAGAATACGTGACGGATAGTGAGGAAATTGGCATGCATTTCGGTGAAATCACAAGTCACCATCCATATTCGTTAGAAAACCAAAGTAATGAGGGCATCTCTTTACTGACAGAACGACACTTGTGTCGTTCTGTCTATTTCTCCCATTTTTCGCTTCATTTCCTCCGCGTCGCCCTCAAAGATCGGACCTCCTAACTTAAGGAAGTCGGAATTATAGAATACGTGACGGATAGTGAGGAAATTGGCATGCATTTCGGTGAAATCACAAGTCACCATCCATATTCGTTAGAAAACCAAAGTAATGAGGGCATCTCTTTACTGACAGAACGACACTTGTGTCGTTCTGTCTATTTCTCCCATTTTTCGCTTCATTTCCTCCGCGTCGCCCTCAAAGATCGGACCTCCTAACTTAAGGAAGTCGGAATTATAGAATACGTGACGGATAGTGAGGAAATTGGCATGCATTTCGGTGAAATCACAAGTCACCATCCATATTCGTTAGAAAACCAAAGTAATGAGGGCATCTCTTTACTGACAGAACGACACTTGTGTCGTTCTGTCTATTTCTCCCATTTTTCGCTTCATTTCCTCCGCGTCGCCCTCAAAGATCGGACCTCCTAACTTAAGGAAGTCGGAATTATAGAATACGTGACGGATAGTGAGGAAATTGGCATGCATTTCGGTGAAATCACAAGTCACCATCCATATTCGTTAGAAAACCAAAGTAATGAGGGCATCTCTTTACTGACAGAACGACACTTGTGTCGTTCTGTCTATTTCTCCCATTTTTCGCTTCATTTCCTCCGCGTCGCCCTCAAAGATCGGACCTCCTAACTTAAGGAAGTCGGAATTATAGAATACGTGACGGATAGTGAGGAAATTGGCATGCATTTCGGTGAAATCACAAGTCACCATCCATATTCGTTAGAAAACCAAAGTAATGAGGGCATCTCTTTACTGACAGAACGACACTTGTGTCGTTCTGTCTATTTCTCCCATTTTTCGCTTCATTTCCTCCGCGTCGCCCTCAAAGATCGGACCTCCTAACTTAAGGAAGTCGGAATTATAGAATACGTGACGGATAGTGAGGAAATTGGCATGCATTTCGGTGAAATCACAAGTCACCATCCATATTCGTTAGAAAACCAAAGTAATGAGGGCATCTCTTTACTGACAGAACGACACTTGTGTCGTTCTGTCTATTTCTCCCATTTTTCGCTTCATTTCCTCCGCGTCGCCCTCAAAGATCGGACCTCCTAACTTAAGGAAGTCGGAATTATAGAATACGTGACGGATAGTGAGGAAATTGGCATGCATTTCGGTGAAATCACAAGTCACCATCCATATTCGTTAGAAAACCAAAGTAATGAGGGCATCTCTTTACTGACAGAACGACACTTGTGTCGTTCTGTCTATTTCTCCCATTTTTCGCTTCATTTCCTCCGCGTCGCCCTCAAAGATCGGACCTCCTAACTTAAGGAAGTCGGAATTATAGAATACGTGACGGATAGTGAGGAAATTGGCATGCATTTCGGTGAAATCACAAGTCACCATCCATATTCGTTAGAAAACCAAAGTAATGAGGGCATCTCTTTACTGACAGAACGACACTTGTGTCGTTCTGTCTATTTCTCCCATTTTTCGCTTCATTTCCTCCGCGTCGCCCTCAAAGATCGGACCTCCTAACTTAAGGAAGTCGGAATTATAGAATACGTGACGGATAGTGAGGAAATTGGCATGCATTTCGGTGAAATCACAAGTCACCATCCATATTCGTTAGAAAACCAAAGTAATGAGGGCATCTCTTTACTGACAGAACGACACTTGTGTCGTTCTGTCTATTTCTCCCATTTTTCGCTTCATTTCCTCCGCGTCGCCCTCAAAGATCGGACCTCCTAACTTAAGGAAGTCGGAATTATAGAATACGTGACGGATAGTGAGGAAATTGGCATGCATTTCGGTGAAATCACAAGTCACCATCCATATTCGTTAGAAAACCAAAGTAATGAGGGCATCTCTTTACTGACAGAACGACACTTGTGTCGTTCTGTCTATTTCTCCCATTTTTCGCTTCATTTCCTCCGCGTCGCCCTCAAAGATCGGACCTCCTAACTTAAGGAAGTCGGAATTATAGAATACGTGACGGATAGTGAGGAAATTGGCATGCATTTCGGTGAAATCACAAGTCACCATCCATATTCGTTAGAAAACCAAAGTAATGAGGGCATCTCTTTACTGACAGAACGACACTTGTGTCGTTCTGTCTATTTCTCCCATTTTTCGCTTCATTTCCTCCGCGTCGCCCTCAAAGATCGGACCTCCTAACTTAAGGAAGTCGGAATTATAGAATACGTGACGGATAGTGAGGAAATTGGCATGCATTTCGGTGAAATCACAAGTCACCATCCATATTCGTTAGAAAACCAAAGTAATGAGGGCATCTCTTTACTGACAGAACGACACTTGTGTCGTTCTGTCTATTTCTCCCATTTTTCGCTTCATTTCCTCCGCGTCGCCCTCAAAGATCGGACCTCCTAACTTAAGGAAGTCGGAATTATAGAATACGTGACGGATAGTGAGGAAATTGGCATGCATTTCGGTGAAATCACAAGTCACCATCCATATTCGTTAGAAAACCAAAGTAATGAGGGCATCTCTTTACTGACAGAACGACACTTGTGTCGTTCTGTCTATTTCTCCCATTTTTCGCTTCATTTCCTCCGCGTCGCCCTCAAAGATCGGACCTCCTAACTTAAGGAAGTCGGAATTATAGAATACGTGACGGATAGTGAGGAAATTGGCATGCATTTCGGTGAAATCACAAGTCACCATCCATATTCGTTAGAAAACCAAAGTAATGAGGGCATCTCTTTACTGACAGAACGACACTTGTGTCGTTCTGTCTATTTCTCCCATTTTTCGCTTCATTTCCTCCGCGTCGACCTCAAAGTTCGGACCTCCTAACTTAAGGAAGTCAGAATTATAGATTACGTGACGGATAGTGTGGGAATTGGCATGCATTTCGGTGAAATCACAAGTCACCATCCACATTCGTTAGAAAACCAAAGTAATGAGGGCATCTCCCAAATTACGTGACCGACATGGCCATCTCGAGACTCAAATGAGTTAAACTTGTCGAATACAGGGGCCCGAAAGGCTCGTGGCTGCTCAAACTCGTGTTTACTGACAGAACGACACAAGTGTCGCAAGTGTCGTTTAACGACACTTGTGTCGTTCTGTCTATTTCTCCCATTTTTCTCTTCATTTCCTCCGCGTCGACCTCAAAGATCGGACCTCCTAACTTAAGGAAGTCAGAATTATAGATTACGTGACGGATAGTGAGGGAATTGGCATGCATTTCGGTGAAATCACAAGTCACCATCCACATTCGTTAGAAAACCAAAGTAATGAGGGCATCTCCCAAATTACGTGACCGACATGGCCATCTCGAGACTCAAATGAGTTAAACTTGTCGAATACAGGGGCCCGAAAGGCTCGTGGCTGCTCAAACTCGTGTTTACTGACAGAACGACACAAGTGTCGCAAGTGTCGTTTAACGACACTTGTGTCGTTCTGTCTATTTCTCCCATTTTTCGCTTCATTTCCTCCTCGTCGACCTCAAAGATTGGACCTCCTAACTTAAGGAAGTCAGAATTATAGATTACGTGACGGATATTGAGGGAATTGGCTTGCATTTCGGTGAAATCACAAGTCACCATCCACATTCGTCAGAAAACCAAAGTAATGAGGGCATCTCCCAAATTACGTGGCCGACATGGCCATCTCGAGACTCAAATGAGTTAAACTTGTCGAATACAGGGGCTCGAAAGGCTCGTGGCTGCTCAAACTCGTGGTTATTGACAGAACGACACAAGTGTCGTTCTGTCAGTAAACACGAGTTTGAGCAGCCCCGAGCCTTTCGGGCCCCTGTATTCGACAAGTTTAACTCATTTGAGTCTCGAGATGGCCATGTCGGCCACGTAATTTGGGAGATGCCCTCATTACTTTGGTTTTCTAACGAATATGGATGGTGACTTGTGATTTCGCTGAAATCCATACCAATTCTCCCGTTATCCGTCACGTAATCAATAATTCTGACTTTTTTTAAGTTAGGAGGTCCGATCTTCGAGGTCGACGCGGAGGAAATGAAGCGAAAAATGGGAGAAATAGACAGAACGACACAAGTGTCGTTCTGTCAGTAAACACGAGTTTGAGCAGCCCCGAGCCTTTCGGGCCCCTGTATTCGACAAGTTTAACTCATTTGAGTCTCGAGATGGCCATGTCGGCCACGTAATTTGGGAGATGCCCTCATTACTTTGGTTTTCTAACGAATATGGATGGTGACTTGTGATTTCGCTGAAATCCATACCAATTCTCCCGTTATCCGTCACGTAATCAATAATTCTGACTTTTTTTAAGTTAGGAGGTCCGATCTTCGAGGTCGACGCGGAGGAAATGAAGCGAAAAATGGGAGAAATAGACAGAACGACACAAGTGTCGTTCTGTCAGTAAACACGAGTTTGAGCAGCCCCGAGCCTTTCGGGCCCCTGTATTCGACAAGTTTAACTCATTTGAGTCTCGAGATGGCCATGTCGGCCACGTAATTTGGGAGATGCCCTCATTACTTTGGTTTTCTAACGAATATGGATGGTGACTTGTGATTTCGCTGAAATCCATACCAATTCTCCCGTTATCCGTCACGTAATCAATAATTCTGACTTTTTTTAAGTTAGGAGGTCCGATCTTCGAGGTCGACGCGGAGGAAATGAAGCGAAAAATGGGAGAAATAGACAGAACGACACAAGTGTCGTTCTGTCAGTAAACACGAGTTTGAGCAGCCCCGAGCCTTTCGGGCCCCTGTATTCGACAAGTTTAACTCATTTGAGTCTCGAGATGGCCATGTCGGCCACGTAATTTGGGAGATGCCCTCATTACTTTGGTTTTCTAACGAATATGGATGGTGACTTGTGATTTCGCTGAAATCCATACCAATTCTCCCGTTATCCGTCACGTAATCAATAATTCTGACTTTTTTTAAGTTAGGAGGTCCGATCTTCGAGGTCGACGCGGAGGAAATGAAGCGAAAAATGGGAGAAATAGACAGAACGACACAAGTGTCGTTCTGTCAGTAAACACGAGTTTGAGCAGCCCCGAGCCTTTCGGGCCCCTGTATTCGACAAGTTTAACTCATTTGAGTCTCGAGATGGCCATGTCGGCCACGTAATTTGGGAGATGCCCTCATTACTTTGGTTTTCTAACGAATATGGATGGTGACTTGTGATTTCGCTGAAATCCATACCAATTCTCCCGTTATCCGTCACGTAATCAATAATTCTGACTTTTTTTAAGTTAGGAGGTCCGATCTTCGAGGTCGACGCGGAGGAAATGAAGCGAAAAATGGGAGAAATAGACAGAACGACACAAGTGTCGTTCTGTCAGTAAACACGAGTTTGAGCAGCCCCGAGCCTTTCGGGCCCCTGTATTCGACAAGTTTAACTCATTTGAGTCTCGAGATGGCCATGTCGGCCACGTAATTTGGGAGATGCCCTCATTACTTTGGTTTTCTAACGAATATGGATGGTGACTTGTGATTTCGCTGAAATCCATACCAATTCTCCCGTTATCCGTCACGTAATCAATAATTCTGACTTTTTTTAAGTTAGGAGGTCCGATCTTCGAGGTCGACGCGGAGGAAATGAAGCGAAAAATGGGAGAAATAGACAGAACGACACAAGTGTCGTTCTGTCAGTAAACACGAGTTTGAGCAGCCCCGAGCCTTTCGGGCCCCTGTATTCGACAAGTTTAACTCATTTGAGTCTCGAGATGGCCATGTCGGCCACGTAATTTGGGAGATGCCCTCATTACTTTGGTTTTCTAACGAATATGGATGGTGACTTGTGATTTCGCTGAAATCCATACCAATTCTCCCGTTATCCGTCACGTAATCAATAATTCTGACTTTTTTTAAGTTAGGAGGTCCGATCTTCGAGGTCGACGCGGAGGAAATGAAGCGAAAAATGGGAGAAATAGACAGAACGACACAAGTGTCGTTCTGTCAGTAAACACGAGTTTGAGCAGCCCCGAGCCTTTCGGGCCCCTGTATTCGACAAGTTTAACTCATTTGAGTCTCGAGATGGCCATGTCGGCCACGTAATTTGGGAGATGCCCTCATTACTTTGGTTTTCTAACGAATATGGATGGTGACTTGTGATTTCGCTGAAATCCATACCAATTCTCCCGTTATCCGTCACGTAATCAATAATTCTGACTTTTTTTAAGTTAGGAGGTCCGATCTTCGAGGTCGACGCGGAGGAAATGAAGCGAAAAATGGGAGAAATAGACAGAACGACACAAGTGTCGTTCTGTCAGTAAACACGAGTTTGAGCAGCCCCGAGCCTTTCGGGCCCCTGTATTCGACAAGTTTAACTCATTTGAGTCTCGAGATGGCCATGTCGGCCACGTAATTTGGGAGATGCCCTCATTACTTTGGTTTTCTAACGAATATGGATGGTGACTTGTGATTTCGCTGAAATCCATACCAATTCTCCCGTTATCCGTCACGTAATCAATAATTCTGACTTTTTTTAAGTTAGGAGGTCCGATCTTCGAGGTCGACGCGGAGGAAATGAAGCGAAAAATGGGAGAAATAGACAGAACGACACAAGTGTCGTTCTGTCAGTAAACACGAGTTTGAGCAGCCCCGAGCCTTTCGGGCCCCTGTATTCGACAAGTTTAACTCATTTGAGTCTCGAGATGGCCATGTCGGCCACGTAATTTGGGAGATGCCCTCATTACTTTGGTTTTCTAACGAATATGGATGGTGACTTGTGATTTCGCTGAAATCCATACCAATTCTCCCGTTATCCGTCACGTAATCAATAATTCTGACTTTTTTTAAGTTAGGAGGTCCGATCTTCGAGGTCGACGCGGAGGAAATGAAGCGAAAAATGGGAGAAATAGACAGAACGACACAAGTGTCGTTCTGTCAGTAAACACGAGTTTGAGCAGCCCCGAGCCTTTCGGGCCCCTGTATTCGACAAGTTTAACTCATTTGAGTCTCGAGATGGCCATGTCGGCCACGTAATTTGGGAGATGCCCTCATTACTTTGGTTTTCTAACGAATATGGATGGTGACTTGTGATTTCGCTGAAATCCATACCAATTCTCCCGTTATCCGTCACGTAATCAATAATTCTGACTTTTTTTAAGTTAGGAGGTCCGATCTTCGAGGTCGACGCGGAGGAAATGAAGCGAAAAATGGGAGAAATAGACAGAACGACACAAGTGTCGTTTAACGACACTTGTGTCGTTCTGTCTATTTCTCCCATTTTTCGCTTCATTTCCTCCGCGCCGACCTCAAAGATTGGATAATGGGGGAATTGGTATGGATTTCAGCGAAATCACAAGTCACCATCCACATTCGTTAGAAAATCAAACTAATGAGGATATCTCCCAAATCTGAAAATTTAGTATGTAACATTTATTTTACGCTTATATTGACAAAATAAGGTAAGTTGGTTGCAAATACTACCGGTGTCATTCCTGTTATTAATTTTGTCAGAATAACGGCAGTTGTGTTGTTCTCAATATTTTTTCAAGATCAGTAACGATACAAGTGTCGTTCTCGTAGACTTGTAAATCTAACTTCTAATGAAATAAAAATGCAAATCTGAAAATTTAATATTTAATATTTTGTTAACGCTTATATTGAAAAAATAAGGTATTTGTTTGCAAATACGGTAAGGTGTCATTCCCGTTATTATATTTGTCACTATAACGACAGTTGTGTCGTTCTCTATAAGCGGTAACGACACTTGTGCCGTTCTTATGAATATGTTTGTGTCTTTATAACGCTACTTGTGTCGTTCTCCCTATCTTTTCAAAATCAGTAACGACACTAGTGGTGTTCTCGCATACAATGACCGAACAACATAACGACAGTTATGCCGTTCTTATGGCTTTTCTCTCATATCATTAACGGCACAAGCGCCGTTCTCAAGAACAAAACTTGACCAAAACCCTAAACCAAATTACCATTTTCATAGAAATGCATAAGCACATTTAAATGAAAGACATAAAAGCTGTCACTTCAATTAACATTCAACTTGAAGGATTTACTAGGTTGCAAAATCAATCTCCAAGGTCTAAATACAAAAATAACTTCAAAACATTCACTAAATCTACGGATCAAAGTGCCATGCAAATATCTCTGCAGCTAATTTGTTCCTCCAAATAGACATATATTCCGGACGAATCAAATCCATATTCAATTGAGCTTGTAAAAACTCAATGAATTTCACTGTGAAAAGCCCACAATCAGACCTACAAATTCATAATGGGAAAAAAATTAGATAGACATGAATTAGACGAAAGAAGTCAAAGATATTGGTGCTAAATGTTATATTCAACCAAGTTTACCCGTTTGTTTGTTCAGGAACTACAACCCTCTGATAACGAAACATGCTGGTGCTGAATTTTTCTTCACGCGCTATGTGTTCCTTTATCAACAAGGGAATTACCACTTGAATAGGTTTCATGCATTCGGCCAGCTGAGCAGCGCGGATGTGTTTTGGCAAACTATCGTAAATGTAAATAGTTCGCTCCGTCAAATCAATCTTCAGTGCAAACCAATGAGAACCCGGTACACAGTAAGGAACATACAAAAATTTACAGTTACTCCAGTGTTTACCGAGCACCGGTGAAGCCCCTTCAACATAATCGACGAGCTCTTGGTCAAATACATAGTTACCATTTTTCTTTTTACGTGCACCCATTTTTAGGTAGGCTTTTTTCACAAGTTGCCAAAAATAACAATCCAATATAGCACAATCTTGCTGAAATATATGTGGATATGTCACTGCCCTTTCCCTAATGTGGTATAAGGCCGAGTCGATATGCTGTACACCAAAACATGATTAATTAAATGCATTTTTCAGTAAAAATAATTCTAATATACAAATATTACTTACATCATCGATAAGCCACCCGTCATCTTTCAATAGTTCATCAAAGAATTTCCTTCGCACTTCACAGATAGCCAAGGTTACTGTATCACTGTGACAACAATAATATCAAACTAAGCTAACTTGCAAATTCGAAATTACACCCTTCACTACGCCAACCACTGGAATAAAATAAATTACCTTGTGGATGCATTTGCCAACCACTTGTTGAGGTCTTCAACTTTTGCAGGATCTACTTCCCTTAAAGGGTCATATGCTTGAATGTTCAACAATTTTCTCCTCTTTAAGGGATTAGTGTATGGAGAAAGCAGCAAGGCTGCTCTTCTTTTAACTCGATGCCCCCTTCCTACAGGCAATTCAGAATTCGGATCCTCGATGACAATGATTTCATTACTAGGTTGGCAAACATGCGAAGATGTCGAAGGCTTCTCATAATCATCTACAAAAGTTGATGGAACACAATTCATTCCATTTTAACACACAAGATTGAAAAGTGAAATATTGAAACGTAAATTATTTGTACCTTTGTTAGATATGTTTGAATCCTCTTTTGTCCTAGCCACCTTCTCTGTGACATCATCTTGTCGAGCTTCCTCGGTTCGAAAGGTCTCTTCAGTCCAGACTAAAGGCCGTTGTTGGTACAAAACTATAGCAGATGAAGGATCTGGCAGAAATCCTACAAATGGGACCCAACATAAAAATCCTACAAATCCAACAAACGGAACCCAACATAAAAATTATTTGTAACTTATTGCAAAATGTACAAGAGAGAATATACCATCATCATATGTAGGAAAAGCCTCAGATTGCTTATTCGGTGTGACTTCTTCATGAAAGCATTCTTCAATAATTACCTCATCTCGCTCTCTTGTCTCTTTGTTCTGTTGATTGCCTTTACTAAAAGCACGATCATCAAATTTGCTTCTTTCCGACTGAACTCCACCTTGTCCAGCCAATTGGAGAAATAAATCAATTTTCCTTTCTACTCGATCGAAGCGATCTGACATCTCGCCTCGGAGCCTCTCTTCAACACCTCTTATTTCTTGTTTTATTATATGAGTGATATAGTCATAAGAAGGTGGGGGTCGTCTAGCTGTCTTGGATGAATGTAGATGGCTAGACATAGATGGTCGATCTGATGTCTTAGGACATTGTGGGCGAGTGAAACTTGACCGAGCATCATCACTCTCAGCCTTCATCCTTGGAAGCAACTTTTTCCAACTTAGGATCCGCTTCACTATCAAAAGGTCCGGATTCCTTCCAGAACGGCTCCAGCAATTCATCGTCTGTAGGATTAAGCGTACAATGTACCTCTATCTGAAAAAACAAGAATGTATAATTATTCAGCAAATTGTTTTATTATAATTATTGATACGCCATTTACATTTTGATAAATAAAACTTACATTTGACGATTCAAAAAATGTGCAAAGTGTTTCCCCCCTAAGTTGCTTGGACATTTCCCAGCTTATCATTCTTGGAATTCTGGAATCGACTGTTACACGACCGAATTTCTTTCCAACACCGGGAATTGCTTCAAATGCCCAAATCTGTACAATCATAAATTTAATTTTTAGTAACATAATTAAATAAAATGTAAAGTTTAAATGATTTTAGAACATATTACCATGATTGCAAATGGAAATCCATGCAGAGAATACGGATATCGCTGAGAAGTTGTATAACCCTTCAACATGTCTCCCAAATTACGTTTAAAAACCTTAATAGTGTACTCGTATGACTTTCTCCCCCATGAATAGTTGTTAAATCTATCGAGATCATCCACCAAATAAAACAACCATGGGTTAACAAATGTATTCTCCTCTGCTGCCAAAACCACGTACATCAATATGACGAGGAGGCCCAACTTATATTTATCATTCTTATGCTTGCAGCGTTTGAAAACTTGTAACAATAAACCTCTCTTTATTTTGCCGTTGCTACGCTTAAAACGCTCTTTCACGAGTCTACAATTTTGCCCTAGCTTCGGATCCTCGTTCTCCAAATCCCCCGCTTTAAGCCCAGTCACCAGTGTGAATTCTTGCAATCCAAATCTTGCAAGCTTGTCTCCAACCTTAATAAATACTTCATTTTCTTTTGAGGTACTTATTGACCTCAGAATCAATTGGTGAACTAATTGGGATGCAAGTTTTATCTTTCTTAGGCATAACAAATGTCCAAAGCAGGAATTGGTTAATAGGTCCTGATGCTTTTCATCTAAGCTATAGAAAACTTCATCGATCAATTTCATTCTACATCTATTACTTATCTTCACGTTCACTATGTCTTCATCATCCATTTTTCCTATTGCAAAATGCAAAACAATAATTGAGTTAGCAATCTTATTTCTCAAAGCAATCATTTACCAAATTATTGGACAAAAATAACGACTTACAAGCTATTTCACGACTACACATAGAAAGCTCCAAGGCAACACAAAATTGTAGTAAAGCAATGAAACATTGTCAATTCAACCTCAAACTAATACCTTAAATGTGTCACAACTCTATAGTGCACTATGCAAAAAATGATTTACAAGTTAATATCAATGATTTGATATATAAATTGCTTTAGATAGTGTTCTATATACATGACTACTAACACACAAAAGAACCAAATGTCAAACGTTATCGGTTCATTTATTCGAAATTAGATAAATGCAGTAAAGTAAAGCATGAGGCCAACTCATATAAAAGTCACAAATACTACCCACTACTACTGTTACTACCAAAGTGACAAAATTTGACATTTCTAGAATCATTTTGACATCTCATATCAATTATGTACAATTTTTGTTCTTTATATACTCGAATTATGCACAACATTTCTACATGTGTAAAGATTAATTTTATGAATAACATGTAATCATGTCTAAAGTTAAAACCCTTTTGATCAAATCCCCAGGTCCAACGATTTGACTTCCATAACCAATCCTAATTATCAAATTGGAGACGACAAACCTAGAGTATCATGTCGATTTCTGTGAAAAGTTGAACTTTTGCTACTGCTTCAAATAATCATTAGGTTAATCAGTAATCTCAACTTTGACCAGAGACAAAGAATTTATCTATTACACTCTCCTATTTGTATGTTTTACCTATAATACCTTGAACATTGAACATGTATATTAATATACTTAGCTGATATCTACTGGAAAATTGGGGATTGGCAAAGACTTTCTAGTGGAGTTTTCTTCCTTATTCATTTTCATCTGGTCTTGTACTAATTAGTGATTTTTAAATCAAATCATCACAAGGGTTGGTTATGTTAATGCTAAAAAACTATGGAGTAAAAAATGAGGAAGGGACATACTCCACATTATAGAAGAAAGATTAAAACTTAATGAGTAAAAAAGTTGAGAATCACGTGCATAAATGACAAAATTATTGTTACCTTGTTCCTAAATATTTAGAAGATAACAATTTCATAACACAAATGAAACATTGCAATAGTGGAGTTCAAAAGGGACCTCATGCATCCCCTCCGCCACCAGCCACAAACCCCCCTTTTTTCTCAAAAAAATAAAAGCTACCATTTCAAAGGCAACCACTTTCATTTCTCAACATAATACATAAATCTCCTCACATTATAGAACCTGTACCTTAAATTTGTGTTCACCTTCACAGCCGCAGTAGCAAGAGAGGAATTTCCACAAACTCGTAGTTCCAAAACAAAGTCTTCGAGGCGGCAGGGGGGTCACTTCGCTCGCCTATGCTCGTCGTGCTCTTTTGCCAGGTTGATTTCATGAGGTTTGTAGTGGATTTTGTGTGAGATTTTCTCAAAGGGGAAGAGAAGAGAGACGTTAATTTTTGAATTGGGGGAATAAGGTTTTACCTGAGGAAGAAACGAGGTGAAAAGAGGGAATATGGAAAGATTTTTGTGTTAAAATGTGAAGGATAATTTGGTCATTTTATTAATTAAACTATTTTGATTTTTTTCTCCCCTTTTGTATTGGTCAAAGGCTATTTCACCAAAATCATTGCCCAGTCCGGCTATCTGGGCAAATTCCCCAATATTTTATCATTTGGGTCAATATTCCAGACTGGTGTTGTAAAGCCCATAAGCACAAATAGAAGGATCCATAACCCTTTTTAAACCTGCAAATTGGATAAAAGAAGGGGTGGGCGCGGGTCGATTCGGTTTGGTTCTCCGAACCAAACTTTTCGGGTATTTAGTAAATGGAACCGTCGGGTTCAAATATAATTATGGAACCGTTCGGGTTCGGTTCGATTCCGTTCCGTTCGGTTCTGTACTATAATTAAATTTTTTAACATTTATAACAACGTTATATAAATACGACTAATGATACATTCAATGGTTTTGGAATGTCCGAGACTAATAAACTACCTTGTTCAAATGATCGCTACGATCAAAGTTTCGGTCGGCGGAAGTCACAGCTTCGATCGGAAGTCAGAGTGTCGGCCGACGATTGTATAGATTTTGGAATATTAGCGAGGCTGCGAGAGTGAGTGCGAGAGTCGAGACAACGTTATGCACTTTAGTGTAGGTATTTAGGGTTATTTAGTGGATTTGATCTTGTTTGACTAAGAAATGAAATAAGAAAATGGGTAATTGGGCCAAAATTTTGGATTTAGAAATCATTAATTTGTTAATTTGTTTAGAAAAAAATTAAAATCAAAATAATTTGATTTACTCAATATAAAAAAAATTAGAAAGATTCGGTTCTTATTCGATTTTTCGGTTCTTGGTCTAGAATCGAGAACCGAACCGTACCCATCGATTCTCAATTCAGATACCCGTTCGGGTATTTAATTTGATAAGAACCGTCGGATTCGGTTCGATCGGTTCGGTTCGAGAGATTTGCCCAGCCCTAGATAAAAGAGCAAGGACTTTTATAATTGTCGCATTCGTTAAATGTGTTCTTTGGTGATTGAATATTCTTGATTGAGGCGTATTCAAATTCACATAAATATATGATGGGTTGACGTAATCGAGTAGAACTTGAAAGGTATATAAATTAATTTAGAAAAATTCAATCAGATACATGCAATCAGTTGTTATAAGATTTAGTGATTGATATTTAGTAGGATAACTATGGTGAACTCGTGAATTATAAAACTTAAATCATAATTCATATATCTTTCATTAAGCTAATTTCACTCATCGTTCTTATATATGTTTATCCACTTTTAAAAATAATTATATATATATATATATATATATTACAATTTTAACCTTATGTAAATTTATTTAAATAGACAAGAATAAAATTAAATAAAATCTATCACTCTTAAATCCATTCACTAATATTTATCCTCATTAAATGTTTTTGAGCCTTTTATATTTATTCTTTTAGACTTTACATTTAACTAAAATCCCAATATTCATAAAACATCTTTTTCAACTAAAGCCAAAACAAATAATGAAAGAGACATTATTAGAGCAAATACATATGGTAAGGTTTATGGCTGAGCTTCATTTTTTTTTAATTATCAAATTATGTATTTATGTTGTTCGAATGTATTGGTAATTTTTAGTAAATTTGTTTATATATGTTAGATTCTATATTTTAATTGGCATTCTATGAACAAAAATGACTTAATTGAATATGTCTTAAAGTCAAGGCATGAAGTGCAATAATATATAGTTGAATTAGGCTAGGGTTTGAGATTGTAAAATTAGGGGTCCATAAGTAAAAGTCTCTATATATATGTATATATGCACAGAAGAAGAGGTACTGGCCGCTGAAGACATATACATATAAACACTCAAAAATTGGACATCTTGGGAGAGTCAAGAAATTGATGTTGCTAAGCTTAATTATATATACTTGCATGCAGTGACAAAAGTGAAGAGAATAAGATTGCTTGTTGGTGAAGACTGCTGGTGGAATTAACAAGTGTTAGTGGTTGAATTTGGACCATATAACTACAAGGAAATTGAGGCAGAAAGGGTTGAAATTCAAAGCTGCTGGGAGCCATATTGGGTATATATATTTACAAAAAAACCAAAGCTTATTTGGTGGCTGAATTAAATAGATTATATATTCACAGAACAAAGCTTTGGGTAAATTGAGTGGCTGGATTATATTAATATATATACACACACTTTGGGCTGAAATTGTGTCATACACTCACACGGAAATTCAGGCAGTAAAGGGGCTAGTTGCTGTCATAATTTATATGTACAAACAGAGACAAAAACATTAGCTGCTGGATGAATTAAAATGTGGTGCTGCTGAATTTAATTTATTATCCACATGCATGCAGAGACGAAGTGGATTTGAAGCCTGTTGTTATTCTAAATAAATACAACATTATTGGCGGTAGTTTTTGGAAGAATTGAGGGTGGCCGACTGCTGAAATTGTATTATATATATCCATAGAAATTGAGGCAAAAAACGTGGCTGCTTGAGGAATTAGAAAGAAGTTGTGGTGCTGAAATTGTTTCATACCTATACACGAAAATTGAGGCAGTGGTTGCTACTTTGTTCCATCAGTGAGAGAAATTTTCATATCTTTGTTCAAGAGATCCAAGGCGAAATGAATTGGTGAATTCATCCATAACACCTTGTGATCCAACAATCAATCTTTTGGGAAAAACATCAATCTTGTGAAGACAAAACATCGTGGTTCCTTAATCCTTTGAGAAACGGACTCTCTCATTGGGGGATTGAGAGAGGTGGACAATAAGCGCATGAACTGGACAAGAACAGGAGGTTCTTGGAATTTCACTTGGTGATACAATTAGCTAAAGACCAGGAGGTTATATTGGATAGCAAATTAGGCTACAGGAGGTAGATCGGGGAGCTACCAGGAGACTAGTAGTATCTACGACAGTAGATCGTGAGACTGGAACTGCGTGTACGGAGTTTGGCAGAACTTGTACTTGCTGGATTGGTAAAGTGGAAACTACTGGCTTGGTCCCGGAGTTTTACCCACATTGGGGTTTGTCCATCATCAAGCAACTATGTTCTTTATATTTCTACAATTTACTTATTTTCGGTAGTTCAACGTAGGATAGTAAAGCATGTGAATTGATTCGGACATATTAAAAATTGTGACTTGTTGCATTTATTAATTAATTTGTAAAATTCCGCATAAATCCCTATTCTGCCCCCTCTAGGTGTTATTTGGGTCAAACTACGTTATTTCAAGTGATATCAGAGCTAAAACTCAAGTCCTGGCCCATCGTTGTCTAGATGAGTCAATCACTGTCTGTGTCTCCATATTTTGACGGAAGCAACTATGCCTACTGAAAGGTTAGGATGCGTGCTTTTTTGAAGTCTTTAGATGAACGTGATTGGGTGAGTGTACAAAATGGTTGAAAACCTCCTTTCACAACTGTGTCAGGTGTCGTTAATCTAATTGATATTTCACTTTAGACTAAGGAAGAATTAGCTGATTGCAATTGGAATAGCAAAGAACTTCATGCCTTGTTTCTGGCCGTGTCTCCCGAAGAATTTAGGAAAGTGTCAATGTGTGAAATTGCTAAAGAAGTATGGGACATTCTAGAGACTACGCATGAGGGAACTAAAATCGTAAAAAATTCAAAATTGTAAATGCTAACCTCTAGGTTTGTAGAAATCAGGATGAAAGATGATGAATCGTTTGATGAGTTTTATGCAAAATTGAATGACATTGTAAACTCTAGTTTCAATCTAGGTGAGAAGATTCCCAAGTCAAAAATTGTGAGAAAGATTCTTAGGTCTTTGCCCAAGAGATTTAGACCTAAGGTTACAGCTATTGAAGAGAGTAAGGATCTGGACACGGTTAAGATAGAAGAACTCATAAGATCCCTTCAAACCTATGAACTCACCATCTCACAACCTAAGAAAAACAAGTCTATAGCGCTGACCACAGTTGGAGAAGAAGAGTCTGAGTCATCTGACATAGAAAGCTTTAGAGATGAGAAAATAGCTTACTTCGTAAAGAAGTTCCAGAAAGCTTTAAAGGGCAAGAGATGGCCCCAAGACAGAAAGAGAGGAGCCCCTAGTAAATTCCAAAAAGAGAAGAGTGATAAACCAACTGATAGGAAGTCTAGTAAGAAAT